TATATATATATATATATATATATATATATATATATATATCCAGAAGAACACTCCAAGACACTTCCAGGAACCTACCTGCAAAGCTACAGTATTGTAAAAAGTTTTAGGCACTTGTGTAAAAATGTTTTAAAAAATATATAAATAGATTTTATTTATCAGTTAACTTCTATTAACTAAATCAATTCAACATTTGGTGTGACCACCCTTTGCCCTTGTTTAAAACAGCTTTTTTCCTAGGTACACTTGCGCATAGTTTTTCAAGTAACTTTGCAGTGGCCCGTTTCAGAAAGGAGGTTAAGTGAAAACTCTGAGCATGTTAACCTTGAAATGAGGGAAACTCTGGGTTTTCCGTTTTCAGAATGGTAGGTTTGTCAAACCCGAGAAAGCAGAGTAAGTCAAACCCGTTTCTGAAAGAGAGGTAACTTATACTCAGAGTCAGTTACCGTGGTAACTTACTCTATGAACTTAACCTGGGGTGCGTCTCCCAAAAGCAACTATGGACGCAAGTTCCGTTGTTACCAATAGATTTAAATGGAACTAACTACCATAGTTAGCTAATGATGCTTTTGGGAAACGCACCCCAGGGGGGTATTCCAAAAAGCAGGTTATGTGACATACCCGGGTATGTTTGAGGATATGCGAGCGGATAACCTCAGCTTTCGGTTCCAAAATCGGAGGTTACTTTCAGGGTATGTAAGTAATCATAGTAACTTGCTCTCTGAAGATAACCTGCTCCGGAGCAGGTTATATTCCAGGGTTAGTTCACTTCAGCGCTATCAGTGCACGTGTGATCTACTGATGAGCCTTCAGTGGGTGTGACAGATAGCGGACAACATTATATAATATTACAATATGTCACTTGTCACTTGACACTTGTCAATGATTTAGTCAATGAAGCCCTTTTTAACTGTCCACTTATGTTGTTTTGAGAATGTTCTGTAGGCCACTATTAAAAAATAGGACCTCTGAACATTTGTTTGTTGCAAATTTACAGACAATGCAATTGAGATGTTTATTCGTTGGGGTAATATTGCTGTCAACTGACAACAAAGTTTCCCTTCTGAATTAGCTTAACTGTACAAGTTTTATAGTTATAAACCCCTTAAAAACAAATTACATTAATTATACTTTAATTTCCTTCAATAAAAAGGAAATTGAGTAAAAGGTGTGTGGACGTGGATTAGTAATCTGGCCCCTTGGTATAAAAAAGAAAAAATGCTGGCCCTCTTCACTATCAAAGTTGTGCCAGAAGTACCAAAGTACCAACTCGTAATTATGTTAACATTGATGCACAATCCTTAAGACACAGAATAGATTTGTTCCCAAACAAATGCTTGGTGATGGCACTTCTCCAGGCAGAACAGAGCTGATTTACATTAGTGCTTCATTCATTTGGTTTCCTCATATTTCCACCTTGATTGGGAACCATGAGGCATTGATGAGGACCAGGAAACATTGCCTCTGCTCACGTCTATCATGACATCCAGAGAGAGCAGAGCCGTTTATACATTTGTGCATATTCTGTGTCACTCACTGAGATCAAGCTCTTTTAAAGAAAAAGAAAAAGCCAATAATGTTCAATAATGTGCTTTAATCAATGTATTTAAAATGTAACTGGATTACAAATGCAAAGCTGTTAAAATGCATATATGTGAATATTAAATAACTGCATTGAAAATCATATTGATGAATATAATAAAAAAGATAAACTTGATTAAAATACAAAATAAAAAAACCATGTAAGATGCAGTGTATACATATGAATATAACAGAATGACTGCTAATTCAGAATCAAAAGAAAAAGTTCATCCATCCAGTTTGTAAAGCGTGTGTCCTGTGTGCGGTTGCCGGCTCCGCCTGTCCCAGTGTCTCGGGCCGTAGGCTGGAAAACAGTCAGGATGGATGGCAAGTTCACCACAGGGTGAAAACACACACACACATACGGACAATTCAGTCTCGATTCACATATAGATTGTGGGGGAAACTGGAGCACAATAGTATATTTAGAAATTAAATAGAAATTAACCAAAACCTTGATTAATAATTTCAGAACAGTAAGCTCAGTAACAGTCCGGATCAGCACACACATTCATCTGTTGCCCGGTGGGACTCAAGACTACTTTTACTCTCTGCTCACTTGTGTCACTGTGCTCTGGGAGATTTTGTTTATTTTTTACGCGACTCTTACTACAAGCGCCAAGGAAAGTCAGGAACACAGGTAAGAACACAACGCCATGGACGGCCCCGAAAAGAATGACCAAGAACATGATTTTGAAGAAGGTCCTGAATATGTAGCTTTTAGCAGCTGCGAGCACCACCACACCTGCTATAGTGGACACGGCACCCTGAACAATCGGATAGCCCAGTTTATGGATGGCATCCGTGGCTTTCTCATTCGCAGAGGATTTTTCACTTGACACAAAAGCGTACGATATGTGAGCAGAGAAGTCCACAGAAAACCCGATACAGATAACAAGATTAATCATAGACACAGAGTCTAAACTGACATCCCACAATGCCATGAAACCGGCCACGCCCACAATGACCGATGCAATGGCAAATGTCACCCAGACAGAGCAGAGAGGGTTCGGGATCAGCAGGAGCGAAATGACTAACATGGCACATGTAGCGACCACTATGTTTTGGACTGTATTACTGATGATGACGGCATATTGGTCGAAATAGATGAACGCGGGGTGGTACACGATCAGATCAACGGGCATCTGCAACTCCCCACATTTGTCTGCAGTTTCTCTAAATGCATTCAGCATGTTTTTCTCATCGATTGCCGTGCTGACGTTCACCGTTTGAATGAACACACGTGATGCATGAATTTGATTGTTAGTGAAATTAACATCTTGGCTAAAACCAGACTGAATAAGAAATGAAGTTAATTTTCCTTTGAATTGTGTTTCATTGTCTAAATCAAAACCAGCATTCTGTCCAATCTGCATGTATGCATGAAGCCAAGAAATAGGTGGAATGCCCGAATCAGCCATTGTCAGATTTAGAAAATTTTCCAAACACAAGTCAAGACTTTCTCGGGCAGCTGGGTTCCAGTACTGAAAATGCTCATTTTTTATTACTAACATGACATTAGGACCAAAATCAGAGAAGAATTCATCTTCTTCGTCATAGTAATCACCCACATATGAGCCGTCTGCTGCTAGATTTTTCAAATCTAGACCTTCCTGTATTTGGAAGCATCCATAGATACTGACTGCCAAATACCCAGCATAGATCAGACACACGAGCATCTTAACCCACACAGTTGTCAGAAAAGGGCCGTAATAGTTTTTAAAGAAGGAATCAATTGGCATGTCGTATTCCTTACGTGTGCTTTTATCATAAGTACCACCAACGCAACAACCTTTACTATCACCACTGGCTTCTGGGAGTTTCATGCAGGTCAGCCAGTGTCTGTTGCCTTTCTCTCGCCTTCCATTCAGTGCGAGACACGCGCCAAAGAAGGTGATGTTGAAGATGTAGCAGAAGAGAAGAGCGGTGCTGGTGTACATGCAGAAGGACTGCACCGAGCGGAAGGGCGTCAGAAGGCCAATGTAGAAAGCCAGCACATCCGTCAGCGTGGTGATTGTGATGGACACACCGGCCTCCTTATACGTTTCTGCTAAGCGAAACTCAACATTTTTATCAACTTCGGTCTTCTGCCAGCAGGAAATCATAATGAACATGTCATCAACACCAACACCTGGAGGAAAGCAGAGACTGTGAACATCAGCTGAGAGACCCCTACTAGGTGATGAAATGAATGAAGTTTACCGAGAATCAAAAAGGGTGCTGAGGCCACAGTCATGGCAAACGGCATCCCACAGAACAGCAGCAGTCCAAAGCTGGCCAACACGGCCATACCAGCGGAGACGACGCCAAACCCAGCCACCCACACCTTCGTCCTGACACAATCTAACCTGTGGAAAGAGAGACATGATAGATGAGCTCATTTGACTCATTTGGCTTGGCATTGGCACACATTTAGTCTGTAATGCCTCGTAATACCTCAGACAAGACAGAATTGAAATGGTAATGGCCAGGAAATACGTAATGGAGAAGAGGGGGATCACAGAGTCTGAATTGGTCTCGAATTCATTCTGTCTCGATATTGATGTAAAGTAAGACACACTGACCTGGAGAAATTCAACACAAAACACTATTCAGTGTAGTTACTGTATACTTGAATGTGCTGCATTCCCTTACAAAAAATAAGTTTATTCAAGTGTGCCATTAGTATACTTCTTTTTTTTTTTTTTACTAAAATTAAGTATACTTTGTCAAATCTTTCCGTACAAATGAAAAATGTAGTCATAAACTAGCTGTTTACTCAAAGTTTACTAGTTACATTTAGAAATATATTTTTATAAACTAAAAAGTAGGCCAGTTTAGTCCCTAGTATTGAAATAGTACAAGTATACTACTATTACACTGATATTAGTATACTTTCTATTTAAAGAATACTTAAAATATACTTGAACCTCACTTAAGTATACATAATAAAATTAACTTGAAGTATACTTATTTTGTAAGGGTTGTGTTGAAGCACAGTAAAGAAATAATTACAGCAAATTATGACCAGACATGAAATCAAGTGTACATGTGTTGGGTTCATTATCTCGAATGACTTTTGGTGCTTGAATTACGGTTTTGGGAGATGATTTGATTAATGTCATATGAGGTACTTTTACACACACAATATATAACTCTGACTTACCATTGTCTGGTCTGTGTAGTTAGAGAAGAATTTTATAAAGCCATCAAGCCAGTCTGAGTTTTCCTTTGTCCTCTCCTCATCTAGGAAATAAAAAAGCCGGACCGCTTTGGCACTGGTCAGTACTGAGCTATCTGGCTTTAGCTTCACACCGCCGACACTTGTGCCCAAAAACATGCCATTATTCATCGGATATGTTATGGTTGAAGAAGTAATTTCAGAAGCATTGTAATTTATAATGTCTAAAATTGCATTTGACATACAGTATCCCTTTGTTCTGGCACAGAGGTTTTCAAAAGTGTTTCCCGTCATTATATTTTTCACTTGTCTGTCTAACTCCAAAATGCCATTAAAAGCCTCTTCAGTTAATATATTTTTGCCATTCAAGCCTGTGATTATCAAAGAAGCATAAGTGCCGTCAGACGCAAGCCGTAACTGAGAAAACTCTTCAGACTGTGGGAAATTCTCCAGCACAATCGCCCTCTCCAGCTTGGCAGGTCCATTGACAGGTGTGAACTGGTCTTCAATATCATTTGCCTCCCTCTCCTGAAGAAAGATAAAACCGGCTCCGAGGACAGTAGCTACATATAAAGGTAATAACACAAACACACATGGATGTCTACCAACAACACGACCGAGCTTTTCAAAGGCCAGAGACAGAGGCTTTTCGAGGCAGTCTGTTTTACACTTCATCATCCTTTAAAGATACTTCGGCAGTTTGTGCTGATTGTCTTGCTTTTCTACAGCATCCTCCTTCTAAAGTGACTCAGTGTTGTCATAATGTACTTATAAGCTAAGCTGAACATTAACAACTCATCTGTTACTCATTAACAGGTAAAGAAACTTCCGTATTGGTGCCTGCTCTTTGTATCACTCCCAGAAATGACCTGCTTAACTAATATTTCATTTTAAGGGACAGCATACTGTAATTAGAATGTGGATACAACATACACGCTGGACTTCAAAGAAATAATTGACTAGGACACCCTGTCAATTCCAGCATCTGAAGAAAATATTTGACAGAACTCAAAAGTAGCACTAGGTTACACGTTGACTACATTAGGGATGTTTAACAGGCACTAATTTACATCTCAATCCATTTCGATTTCAGATTCTTAAAATTCTGTTTATTTGAACCCTATACTTTGGAATTTGATTTACGTGTGCTTTACATGTACTCTGAACAAAACTTCAGTGCATGCAAAGTGTATCATGCAGACATATGTCAGAAGAGCTTGTTTTTTTGTTTTGTTTTTAGCAAATATTAGCTATAGGCTGGACTATTGTAATGTTCTCTGGGCAGGTCTTCCAGCTAGTTCTATCAAACCTCTGCTACTAATCCAGAATGCAGCAGTGAGCTTAGTTTTTTATGAGCCGAAGAGAGCGCATGTCACACCTCTGTTCATCAATAGGCACTCACATCAAATACAAGGCATTGATGTTTGCCTACAAAACATCCACTGGCTTTGCACCCCTTTACCTAAATTCACAGACTTATGTGCCCTCCAGAAGCTTGAGTTCTGCAAGTGAACAACGCATTATAGTGCCAACCCAAAGAGGCACAAAATGCTTTAATTTATTCAAGAAATTACTAAAGGTGCATCTTTTCCATCTACACTTGAACTGTTATTACTAGCACTATATATTAAATTTATTTTTCTATTTATTTATTTAAAATCCTTGCTACAATTGTCACAATGAGGAGTCTCAAGATCCAAGTGCGAGTGAAAATAAAGAGTTTATTAAGCAAGGACAGAGACAACCGCAGTCGGGAACTCCAGCCGAGATCCAGCCGGGGGGGGGAGTAAGCTTATTACTGACAGACCAGAGAGGAATATTTTTAGATGAAAGCCACACTTTTTGACCAACGACGTAGACGGGAGGCTTCGACCTGAGCCTTGGTGCACGCTCCCACCTGGAGCAGGGTCTGTCTAGCCCTGCTCCAGGTGCGACGGCACCTCTGGACAAAAGCGTGGGCAGAGGGGACCGCGACTTTGGATTCCATACTTGGAAAAACAGGTGGCCAGCTAGTTCTATCAAACCTCTGCTACTAATCCAGAATGCAGCAGTGAGCTTAGTTTTTTATGAGCCGAAGAGAGCGCATGTCACACCTCTGTTCATCAATAGGCACTCACATCAAATACAAGGCATTGATGTTTGCCTACAAAACATCCACTGGCTTTGCACCCCTTTACCTAAATTCACAGACTTATGTGCCCTCCAGAAGCTTGAGTTCTGCAAGTGAACAACGCATTATAGTGCCAACCCAAAGAGGCACAAAATGCTTTAATTTATTCAAGAAATTACTAAAGGTGCATCTTTTCCATCTACACTTGAACTGTTATTACTAGCACTATATATTAAATTTATTTTTCTATTTATTTATTTAAAATCCTTGCTACAATTGTCACAATGAGGAGTCTCAAGATCCAAGTGCGAGTGAAAATAAAGAGTTTATTAAGCAAGGACAGAGACAACCGCAGTCGGGAACTCCAGCCGAGATCCAGCCGGGGGGGGGAGTAAGCTTATTACTGACAGACCAGAGAGGAATATTTTTAGATGAAAGCCACACTTTTTGACCAACGACGTAGACGGGAGGCTTCGACCTGAGCCTTGGTGCACGCTCCCACCTGGAGCAGGGTCTGTCTAGCCCTGCTCCAGGTGCGACGGCACCTCTGGACAAAAGCGTGGGCTTGGAAAAACAGGTGGCTGGTACCCTAAACTACACTCAAATGATAGGCCCGTAGCTGAGACTGGTAATGAATTATGTGCGTACTCAACCCATGAAAGCTGCTGGCTCTAAGAGGAGGAGTTCTGAGAGACCAAACATCACAACATGCGTTCTAAATCTTGGTTGGCCCTCTCTGTCTGACCATTACTCTGGGGATGGAACTCAGAAGAAAGACTAACAGTCGCCCCCAGCAACCGACAAAATTTGGAAACAAACTGAGGCCCGCTGTCAGAGACCACGTCCATCGGGAGGTCATGTATGCGAAAAACGTGGTCAATGACAGCAACCGCTGTTTCTCTGGCAGATGGTAATTTAGGCAGAGGGATTCAGGTGCGACGGCACCTCTGGACAAAAGCGTGGGCAGAGGGGACCGCGACTTTGGATTCCATACTTGGAAAAACAGGTGGCTGGTACCCTAAACTACACTCAAATGATAGGCCCGTAGCTGAGACTGGTAATGAATTATGTGCGTACTCAACCCATGAAAGCTGCTGGCTCTAAGAGGAGGAGTTCTGAGAGACCAAACATCACAACATGCGTTCTAAATCTTGGTTGGCCCTCTCTGTCTGACCATTACTCTGGGGATGGAACTCAGAAGAAAGACTAACAGTCGCCCCCAGCAACCGACAAAACTCTCCAAAATTTGGAAACAAACTGAGGCCCGCTGTCAGAGACCACGTCCATCGGGAGGTCATGTATGCGAAGAACGTGGTCAATGACAGCAACCGCTGTTTCTCTGGCAGATGGTAATTTAGGCAGAGGGATGAAATGAGTTGCCTTCGAGAACCGGTCCACCACAGTCAAAATCACTGTGAGGCCAGGAGACCGAAACAAAATCTAGCGAAATGTGGGACCAGGGTCTCGAAGGAACTGACAACGGCTGAAGGAGTCCAGCAGGGGATCGATTGGAAGACTTAGAAACAGCACAGACCGAGCAAGCCAAAACAAAAAGATGAACGTCGCAAGCCATAGATGGCCACCAGAACCGTTGTTTAACGTGGTGCGATTAACCCCAGGATGACAGGCTACCTTGGAACAATGACTCCCTTCGGATAATTTCGGACCTTAAACACTCTGGCACAAATAACCGACCCGGTGGGCATCTGGGTACCCCTTGAGAGGCCGTGCGGACCTTCGACTCGATTTCCCACGTGACCGCAGAAACAAAAAGCTTCTGTGGCACAATGGGCTTGGAAAAAGATGGGCACTCCGAATTATAAAAAATACGGGATAACGCGTCTGGCTTGATGTTTTTAGAACCCGGACAGTAAGAAATAGAAAAATCAAAACGACAGAATAAAAGAGCCCACCGGGCCTGCCTAGAGTTTAATCTTTTGGCGGACTTGATGTATTCAAGATTCTTATTCTTATGGTCAGTCCAAACAATAAAAGGAACCCCCGAACCCTCCAACCAATGACGCCACTCTTCAAAGGCTAGCTTGACTGCCAGCAACTCTCTGTTACCAATATAATTACGTTCGGCAGGTGACAAATGACAAACGGTGAGAAAAATCCGTGCAAGGATGCATCTTGCCGTCCGCGGAGGAGCGCTGGGATAAAACTGCGTCAGCCCCCACCTCTGACGTGTCAACCTCCACCACAAACTGCCAGGATGGATCAGGGGCAACAAGGATGGGAGCTGAAACAAAGCAGCTTTTCAGTTTAGTAACCGCAGCCTCCGCTGCGCTTGAACACCTGAACGGAGTCTTGGTGGAGGTTAAGGCAGTCAAAGGAGCGGCTAGCTGGCTGAAATTGCAAATGAACTGGCGGTAAAAATTGGCAAAGCCCAGAAACCTCTGCAGGGCCTTGCAGGAATCTGGGGTTGGCCAATTCACCACAGCCTGAACTTTGTCGGAATGCATGCGCACCCCCTCGGCTGAGACGATGTATCCCAAAAAGGGAACAGACTGTGCATGAAAAACGCATTTCTCCGCGTTGATATAAAGCCCATTCTCTAACAGCCTCTGAATCACTTGCTGAACACTGCCTTCAGGTCTAGGTACTCACATGGCACGTTAGACAAATCCGTGCGTTCATCCTGAAACACAGAACAAGACACAGAAGAACACACAGATAACAAACAGGAAGCATGACAAAATTCGCTCCAAGCTAAAACTAAATATGGGGGTTATGGAGCACAAGCCAGGGATGTCCCAGAATCACAGGAGCAGAGGGAGTGTCAGTCAAAAGAAAGTCAATGTTCTCTGAGTGATTGCCAGAGGTGATGAGCCTTAAAGAGACAGTGGTGTGCGTGACGGAGGGTAAAGGCTGACCATTCAGCGCAAGTCAAGTCACCTTTACTTATACAGTGCTTTTAACAATACAGATTGTGTCAAAGCAACTGTACAGCATTAATTAGGAAAATAGTGTCTTTAATGCATAATGACAATAATAAACACTAAATTTTCAGTTAAAGGCAGTTCATCATTGAATTCAGTGATGTCATCATCCAGCTCAGTTCAGTTTAAATAGTATCTGTGCAATCAAGTAGACGATTTCGCTGGAAATTAAGTATCCCCAACTAAGCAAGCCAGAGGCGACAGCGGCAAGGAACCAAAACTCCATCGGTGACAGAATGGAGAAAAACGTGGTCAATGACAGCAACCGCTGTTTCTCTGGCAGATGGTAATTTAGGCAGAGGGATGAAATGAGTTGCCTTCGAGAACCGGTCCACCACAGTCAAAATCACTGTGAGGCCAGGAGACCGAAACAAAATCTAGCGAAATGTGGGACCAGGGTCTCGAAGGAACTGACAACGGCTGAAGGAGTCCAGCAGGGGATCGATTGGAAGACTTAGAAACAGCACAGACCGAGCAAGCCAAAACAAAAAGATGAACGTCGCAAGCCATAGATGGCCACCAGAACCGTTGTTTAACGTGGTGCGATTAACCCCAGGATGACAGGCTACCTTGGAACAATGACTCCCTTCGGATAATTTCGGACCTTAAACACTCTGGCACAAATA